CTCTCAGTTGAGTCACGCTGGAAGTACTTAATTCCTCTAGCAATATGTTGTGACAACACATGTGAAATGTTGCTAACTAGGGAAGCTCGTTAGAGTTTTTACTAGAAGTTGATGACAGGCACCCTCTGCCTAGCATGTGCCAAAATTCCAGACTCAGCAGCAAAGAAGGTAGTCAGCATAACTGGGTTGTTACTACAAACAGTTTAGGTGTAGTGAACTGTACTTAATCAGTTAGGGAGAGTGGGAACTCTCCTGAAATCCAAGTTCCTAGGCACCAGTGAGCCAAGGGCCAACCTTGTAATTAGGCCTTTTAAGATCAGCAGTTAGGCCTGCTATGTTACCTCTTTTTGAGTATGTGTATGTAACACTTAGCATGTAGTGTGCTTTTATTAAATGTTAGCTGTTTTTATTTATTATAGGAATTCTTCATTGATTACTACTACTTCTATTAATTGTGATCTTCTGCATTCCTAGGAGGTAGGTTGGCCAGTATTTTGATCTTCATTTGATAGATGAGACCTAGGCAAAGAGAAGCAATGACATTTCTAAATACTTAATTGACAGATCAAGTATCAGAATCTAATATATTCTTTTTGCAAGTTCATAGGAAAAAGATTTTTCTTTTGCCTTGTTGACATTTCTAGAGGGCATTAGTAAAATATAAAATAGGATTAAATATTTAAGTTAATGTCATGTTGGAACAAATTCACATTTTATATTTAGCTATGTAATTTTTGAACTTTGGGGCACAATGTCATTTAATGTAGCACAGTTCTGTTGGGGCAAAAAGTGATCTTGACTCTTTAGCATTTTGTATTCTTAATGAATTAAATATCGTTAATCTTAACCTAGGATTAAGCTAATCTATATCAGTACTGATTTTGGTGAATGTGAATTGGTATTTTACCTCTACCCTACCCATTACCTTTTACTCTCAAATAAATTAAGGCATAGTAAGATTTCAGTCACTATGCTGAGTTCCACTTGGCCTTATATATGAACTTTGAGATTTCTTAATGGGTATCCCAAAGTGAATTTAACTTTTCATGTAACATACCTATCAAAGCAATTGGATCATTATCGTTATTTCTTGTAAGTTGTATTTGCAAGTAAATCGGACCAAAACCACAATTATTCTCTCCCAACACCAGAGACAATTTTATAGTTGTTAGATTCTCTTGTATGCCACTCTACTGGCTGAAATAGTTTACAGTATATTCACTCTCATTACACTCATTTGATACTCATAATGGTCTGTCATGCTAGGTGGTATTCTAATTTTACAGAAGAGGAAGTTGAGTGTGACTTATCCAAGATTTTGGAAACTTCTGAGTTGGAGATCAGGCTTTTAACTTTGTATTATTTACACAATATAATGAAGATGGTAAGCTCTTTGGATATTTTTGTTCTAAATGGTAGCAAGAACCATTTTAGAGAAAGCAAATTATCCCATAGTAAGTAAAAATTTTCATAGGGACATCCGAGTGTCTCAGTTGGTTAAGTGTCTGACTCTTGGTTTTGTCTTAGGTCATGATCTCATGGGCTGTTAGATTGAGCACCAATTTGAGCTCCCCACTTGGTGGGGGAGTCTGCTTGAAGATCCTCTCCTTCTGCCCCTTCACCCCCCTACCCCCATGTGTGTGGATGCATGCACAGTGTCTCTCAAATAAATCTTTAAAAAACCTTTTTTTCATAATTTCCCCAGGCCATCACTAAAATATTTTTAGTCCCTTACGTTAGTAAATTTATAAGCCTGAATAAGATTATGCTCCTTATGTTGCTCCTCAAATGAAAATAAAGATTTAGAATTTTTAGTTTTTATTTTTTTAATATTTTATTTATTTATTCATGAGAGAGAGAGGGAGAGAGAGAGGCAGAGACACAGGCAGAGGGAGAAGCAGGCTCCACGCAGGGAGCCCGACGTGGGACTGGATCCTGGGACTCCAGGATCACACCCTGGGCCGAAGGTGGCGCTAAACCACTGAGCCATCCTGGCTGGCCAAGATTTAGAATTTTTTAAAGTACGTAGGAGAAGAATCTTAAACTTTGTACCAGAAGAAACCATGATATTTGCTATTATATCTTGTCCTGAGGAAGATCTTTCCGAATATATAAAATATTGAAGCCATAAAAAAGGGAGTTTGATTAATATAACTGCATAAAAATAATCACTGTGAGCAAAGTCAAGACAAATGATAAACTAGGAAAAGTATTGCTAGTCATAGAACATACGGCTAATTTTCCTTATAGAGAGCTTTAACAAATCAAGAAGAAAAAGTTTATATAAGGAGTAAAGGAAATGCGCATACCTTTCATATCAAAGTAAATGCAAATTACTCAGACATGAAAAGTACTTGATTTCACTTATAAAATATGTATGTAAGATACAGAATTTCACCTGTTAGATTGGCAAAACTAAAAAGTTTCGATATTCCTTGTGTTGGAAAAGCTAACAAGGAGATGGTACTGTCTTGCGTTGCTGGTTAGGACTTAAGTCAGTAGAGGCTACAGGAAGGAAGGACGGCTTTTTATTGTCAGAATTACAAAAGCATGTATGCACATACTCTTTGACACACTAATTCTGATTCCAGCAATTCAATCTATGAATATACTTGCAAAATGACATACATGCAAGATCATTCATGACAGCATTGTTTGAATAGTGTTTGGAGATTTAAATTCCCCTTGATACCTGCATTTTGGTCCTCCTCTTTATTACTTTGTCTTCTCTTTTTGTTCTTAGAGGTTGGTTTGTGGCCATTTCACAGTTCTGTCTAAAGGATGGAATCAGCCAGGGTTTTTCATTTTAATCAGCAGAAATCTACTCTGACAGATTTAAGCAGAAAAAGAATTTACTGAGAAAGAATATTGGGCAATCCAGAATAATCAGCCAGGTAGCCAGAAAACTTGGCTTGGAAAACAACAGCTAGGATCCAAGAGCAAAGCCTGTATAATACGGATTCTTTGAAAGTTCTTTGTGACCCACTGTAGTTTTAATTGTTCCTTGTTTATTTTAAGGAGTAAATATTCTATTTATTGGGTTCATACATATGTATAAGTGTATTAGTATAAAATTTGTTAGTCTTCTTTTTCAGTGTTTCTACCTTTTTACTACCTTTTGGTCTGCCTGGTCTGTTTTCAACTGTGGTGTCGAGATTTCTTGCATTGTTTTGGAATTCTTCACATCTCCTTGTAATCTTATTAGTTTTTGCTTTGGTGTATGTTCATACAAGTTCATGATTATTATATCTTCTTGCTTGGGTTGCCTTTTTAATCATTATGTAATTTCCCTCTTTATTTCTTTTTTTTAATATATTTTTTTAAATTTTTATTTATTTATGATAGTCACACACAGAGAGAGAGAGAGAGAGAGAGAGGCAGAGACACAGGCAGAGGGAGAAGCAGGCTCCATGCACCGGGAGCCCGATGTGGGATTCAATCCCGGGTCTCCAGGATTGCGCCCTGGGCCAAAGGCAGGCGCCAAACCGCTGCGCCACCCAGGGATCCCTCCCTCTTTATTTCTATTAATGCTTTTCTCTTGGTTTTGCCAAGTACAGTTTTATGGCCTTGGGCAAGTCATTATCGTCTCATTTTCTTATTATAAAATGGGTATAATACCTATCTTATAAAGTTTCTGTGAAGATTCACTGAAAAAATATATATGAAGTATTTTACATGTGATAAGTTCTCCATAAATGGACTGAAATTACTTTTTTGCCTTGAGGTTTTTCTTGTTCCTCTCTCTATTTCCTTCTCTATTAAAGCGTCAGATTTTAAATACTGTTTGCCTATAACTAGAAATGTGCTTAAGGGACATGATTAAAATACTCATTAGGACTTTTTTTTTTTTAGTATATGTGCTGCCGAAGCGAGCACAGACCTTTTTTTTTATAAGTGAATGAAGGTGGTGGAACGTTTGCCTCCCACAGCGAGTCTAACAATTCTCTAGTACTTGTAGACTTAGTAAGTCTTAAAATTGATGCTGTATTTTGATCACTACATGTACATAGAGGTATATAGAAGTGTCATGTACTTTTAAGGAAGCAGAAGTCTGTACTTTACTCCTCCTTGTTGATAGCCTTTAGAACTTAACTTTTATTCTTGTTCTTAATTTCGATTTTTATCATCTATTTATATTGCCAACATGTGTTATGTGCTTCTGTGGCCCTGGATATCTCAGATTTAAAAATATATAGAGATAAGGGGGAAAAACAATGTCAGCTGGGTAAACCACATAGGAAGTCTAAAAATATATGGTATGTATCAATTGTAACTTGATAGTCAAGGGTTAGGAGAGCCAATGCTGGAGAAAGACAAAACTGGGATGAAGTTGTCATCCATCTTTGGAGAGTCTTGAATGAAGAGTTTTGACTTTGTTCCTGTAGGCCAGTAAAAACCACGAGGCTTTTAAGGATAAAAAATCAGGTTACATACTGAAAATACTGACAGGTTGTATGCAGGGAAAATACTCTGCTGGCAATGTTGAAAAAGAAATAGAAAAATACAGCGTTATGAGTAAAACTTCAACTCATTTAAAATGTTACTTGGTAACATTGAACTAAGAACTTTATTTTTTTATTTTTTTATTTTTTGAACTAAGAACTTTAAATGTAGTTTTTTCTTAAGGTCCCTTAACATATTACTTTATTAGTGAGGCTTTTCCAGACCATTCTTTATAAGATAATTTTTTTCTTTCATCCTATATTTGTTTTCCTCCATAACACTTAGTACTACCAGTTGTATTTTATGCACACACTTGTTTATTGTCTGTAAGATTGTAAACTCCATGAAAGCAAGGGCTTTCTTTGTTCAGTGCTTCTCCGTGCTTAGAACTGTACCTCATTTATACCCTTTAATAAATATTTATTATGAATTTTCAAATTAAAATGACCACAGTTTTTTATGTAGTTTATAATGTGGGGACAGCAGTAGGACAAGGTTTTGGGTTCTTTCCTAGAAACTCCTGTTAAAAAAAGTGTTTTGTTTTCCCTTTCTTCCAGAGTTTATATTCAGAGCACCAATCAAATTAAGCAAGCCTGGGGAACTTCGTGAAGAATATGAAAGCCTGAGAAAGGTACAGTATATACATTATCACACACTCATTTTTTTTTAAAGTAAATTGAAAGGATGACATTAAAGAATACTTAATGGGAGCTTTTAAAATTTACGATGCATTGCCTTTCTCCATACTACCTTATAGTATAGCTATAACGGAAGCAGAGTAAACCTTAACTAAGAACCCCTTTTTAGCTGTCCTTTCAAAGATGAAACTGTAGTTCACCTGGCCTGTCTCATACCTGCCACAATAACTAGCCACCAAGAGATGTATCCTTGGCATATATTTATTTATTTAAATTTATTTTAGAAAGAGAGAACATAGCGCATATGCACATGCTAGTGTGGGGAGGGGCAGAGGGAGAAAATCTCAAGCACACTGCCTGCTGAGCCTGGAGCCTGGCACAAGGGGGTAAGAGGGGCAGGGCTCTAGTCCCAAGACCCATGAGATCATAACCTGACCTGAGCCGAAACTGAAAAGTCGGACCCTTAGCCCACTGAACTACCTAAATGCCCCTATTCTTGGCATTTAAGTGTTGGCTAAAAGGCAACATTTAAGCTCTCATAATAATAGCTTGTATTATTTTTCCTTATCTTGCAAGTTTCCTCTAATTACATGTAACTGGTATTCTCTTTTGTTGCTTTTACTCTGTTATGTAGTGCAGAAGAACTGTAACTTAGGACAGTAAAGGAGTAGTAAAATAACTTCCTAGGTAGAGAATGTTTACTACTGGGAAAGATTTTAGCCATGTCCACATCATCTTATTTTCAATGTTTTCAAGCTAATTGCGAATCATGTAGAGAATTAACATGTCAAAAAGGCTGATAATAAGTATAAGATTTGTATCATCCTTCTCCAGCCCTTTCCCTTCACCACCATATCTTATCCACCTTTGTAAATTATTCGATGCATGGATACTTAATATTTTATAAAGGCACGTAATCCGTAATCCACTAATCTGAACCGGACGTTATGAAACAAGCAATACAATAACATTATTGTGACACTTTATACTGAATGAACAAATCAGTGTTTAAAAAGGTCATGTTAAAGAGAAAATAGAAACTTTGTTTAATTACTATACATTCTTTGACTTTCTCTTTTATTTTTATTTTTTAAAAGTATTTATTTATTCATGAGAGTGTGTACACAGAGAAAGAGAGGCAGAGACACAAGCAGGCTCCTCACAGGGAGCCTGATGTGGGACTCAACACCAGATACCGGTCTCCAGGCTCACACCCTGGGCTGAAGGCAGCACTAAACCGCCTCCTGGGGCTGCCCCGACTTTTTCTTTTAAATGAGAGTGTCAGATGTTGACTTGGGTCCTCATACTCCTTTTGTATTCTATTGTGAGGGTTGTTTGGTTTTTAAATCACTTACAAAAGTTTTTTTCTACATAGGAAGAAATTCTTTTTAGGGACCACATCAAAAAAAACCACAGATCCCCCCCCCCCCAAAAAAAAAAAGAACCACAGATTCCTCTTGAATAAAATTCTAGAATCTGCAGATATTTAATTCTGATAAACCTTTTTACAAACTTGGAGAATATGGAAATTTTAAAGCTATCAGCTTGAAGATAAAGTAAGGAATTGGAGGTAGAAAAAGGAGGTAAAACAATGCATTGTAAGAGTAGAAGTTTTTATAAGCTTTGGGAGAGAGAAAGAAACCTTGGGGAACTGTACCTTTACTCCTTTTAGGAGGGGATAGAAAAGTGGTTTTAAAAGGGACCAATAGGGATCCCTGGGTGGCGCAGCGGTTTAGCGCCTGCCTTTGGCCCAGGGCGCGATCCTGGAGACCCCGGATCGAATCCCACGTCGGGCTCCCGGCATGGAGCCTGCTTCTCCCTCTGCCTGTGTCTCTGCCTCTCTCTCTCTCTCCCTCTCTCTCTCTGTGACTATCGTAAATAAATAAAAATTAAAAAAAAAAAAATAAAAGGGACCAATAGCAGGGCAGCCCAGTTGGCTCAGCAGTTTAGCGCCACCTTCAGCCCAGAGCCTGATCCTGGAGACCCGGGATGGAGTCCTACATCTCTCTCTCTCTCTCTCTCTCCTCTCTCTCTCTCTCTCTGTGTCTCTCATGAGTAAATGAAATCTTAAAAAAAATAAAATAATATAAAAGGGACCAATGGCAGAATGATGTTAAGCGAAGCTAGGACAGTCTCACCTTATATAAACTGGATTGGGTTTGAAAAACATTCACTTGTGTCATTTGAGTTAAATAAGTGACATGTATGGCTCCCTCCTCCCAACTCCCAAGTACCCAAGTTGCTGGCATCCATTGTACACCTGGAAAATGGAATTTCATGTCATAAAATCAAAAGGCACTAATATGGCATACCTATACAGTAGAATAATATTAAACAATAAAATAGAATGAACTACTGGTACATGCCACTACTTGGATGAACCTCAAAAAGATGCTAAGTGAAAAGAATGAGGTACAAGGGACCACACATTGTATAATTCCATTTATAGGGGATGTGCAGAATAGACAAATGTGATGGAGACAGACTGGAGATTAATGGTTGGTTGAAGTAGGGGGTGGAAATGGGGGTTAACAATAAATGGGCATGAGTGATTTAATTGCAGTAGTGAAGATTTTTAAAACTCATTTATGGTGTATTCCACAGCTTGGTAAATTTACTAAAAGTCCCTGAATCATACACTTGAGGTGAATGAATTATATAACATGTAAAATATGCCTCAATAAAGTTGTAAAGAAAAATTAAAAGACACTAGACACTTGGATGGAGAACTTGATAGAGAAAAAGGTGTCTCTTAGAGTGCATATATTCTAAAACAAAACAAAGTAAATATATAATTATTTGCTGAATATCTAGGGAAGGAATATCCTTAGAAGTTTCTACTCAGCAGGGGATGGTAAGTGGAAATTAGTTTTATACAACTTATCATTACTATTTTGATGCATAACATGCTACTAATACACTTTTTGTTTGGTATATTTTCTTTAAGTGACAGAAAAACCTTTATGAGGGCTACAGAAGTTTAATAAGAAATTTTATTCTTCTAATTATAGTACTTTTCAAAGATATTTACTTAGTAGTCATAGATCTTCTTACCTATGGCTAGTGTTATGAATTTCTAAATTTTATGATTATGTGTGGATTTATATTTCTGAATATGTTTAAAGATTTCTTCTTGCCACATGCCATAGGTAATTTTGTTTTCTTGATAAGAAAAACAATGCATGAATATGCAGAACAAAATGTAAAAGTCCCTCTTTTTCTTATTTCTCATGCTCTTTACCATAGTTAACTAGTTTCAGCAGTTTAGTGTGTATTAGGTCCTTTATATACCTATACACGCATGTGTGTACGCACACACACACACGTGCATGCTTTAGTCTTTTCAGTATAAATGAGATCACAATGTATATTCATTTATTCATCAGATATTTTTTGTGTCCTTACTGTGTGCCAGGCATTGGGGATATGGTGCTGAAGAAGACACCCAAGTTCCTTGCCCAGGGAGTTCCATTCTAGTGCAGAAGACATTAAATAAACAAATAGATACGTAATATATATTAATAAAGTAGGATCAGAAGAGTTACAGGGTAATGGAGAGGGAACTTGAGGAGACACAAAAAGACTGTTTTAGATAGAGTAATCAAGGTCTCTCAGAGAAGATAATGTTTGAGTTGCTACCTGGAAGAAGTGAAGTAGCAAGCCAAATGAAGGTATGAGGAAAGAGTTTTCCAGGCAGAGGAGCAAAATGCAAAGATCCTGAGACAGAAACAAGTTTGGCTTGTTCAAGAACTGTGTGGCTGGAGCTGGTGTGTGCAAGTGGTGGGTAGAAGGATGGTATGGGGATTTGGTAGGACATGAGCTGGGAGAAATAGAAGGGCGAGATCAAAGAAGGCCTAGTTGACCTGTTAAGGAACCTAAATTTGAGTGTGATATGAAGCCAGTATTACGATCTGACTCATACTTTTAAAAGGTCTCTGGTTGCTGTGTAGGGAGAAACAGTAATGGGCCTAGGAGTTAGGAATTGTATTTACTGTGGATAAGAGAGACCCAAAAATAACAACCCAAACAAATTAGTTTTTTTTTTTTTACATTTTTAAATTTAAATTCAGTTTGCCAACATATAGGGTAACACCCAGTGCTCATCCCATCAAGTACCCTCCTCAGTGCCCATCACCCAGTTACCCCATTCCCCCACCAAACAAATTTATTTTTCTCAAGTAACAAAAACCAGATGTAAAGCTGATACATACAGCAGCTTCATGACATCAGGAAGTCAAGTTCCTTTTGTCTTTCTATTTAGACCTCTTCAACTATGCCTATTTACTTGTACTGTGAGTTGGCTGATCCTTCTCTAGAATCATATCTAGACAGAAAGTAGAAGAAGAAAGACATGGAGTTTTTTTTAAAGAGCTTTCCCCAAAGTCCCACCCAGTGATTTCACATGTGCTTCATAGTACACTGTCATAGACGATCTCTAGCTGCCAGGGAGTCTGGGAAGCAGAGTGTTTTAGCTGGTTACTAACTTCCCAAGTAAAATCTGGGTTCTCTTGGAAAGAAAGGAAAAAATGGATAATGGGTAGGTAGCTAGAAGTCTGGTGACTCATGGGACAAGAATGGAAATAAGACTAATTAGGGCACTTTGGGATTAAGCAGTGTGTTGGGTTTAAGCAGGGTTAGGTGTTGCTAGAAGAATGACAGAGTGAGTGATACAGTGGACTGGAAAAAGTATACAAAGGAGATGCTTGGGTGGCTCTGTGGTTGAGCATCTGCCTTTGGCTCAGGTCCCCGGATCCTGGAATCGAGTCCCACATCGGCTCCGCGCCCTCCCACAGGGAGCCTGCTTCTCCCTCTGCTATGTCTCTGCCTCTCTCTCTGTGTCTCTCATGAATAAATAAAATCTTTAAAAAAAAAAAGTATACAAGGAAGTTGTTTAGTTTTGGACCATGGTTTTAGAGGAGGTAATTTAAGGAGGGAATTGAGATGATGGACACAATGGACAGTGAAAATGTGGTAAGGTCAGTGGATTGAGGTT